ATATCCTCTCTTTCGACATCCACCTTCCTTCATCGGCCTATCACCATTACAAAACTCTAAAATGCAAGCTTCGTTGGTTATAGAAGGGTTTCATCAAGCTTTGTAGGTTTCTAGACGCGCTTAATTGGGGGAAATTTTTGAACTCGACAAAATAGCCCCCTAACTTTGGGAAAAAAGGGGCAATCCGATTTGATTCGAACTCTCTTGGTATTAGTTCGGCGGGGATCAAATGGCTGTTCACGTGCCTTTATCTGCGGAAAAGCATTAGTTCTCCCTAAAAATGGGTGATCCAGCCACAATGTATCATTTCTAGGTCTAATGGAATTCATCAGTAGTTGGTCCGAGAGGATGATCAGCCACACTGTGAATGTCTGTATAACATGTGTGTGTGTGTGTATATATATATATATGCACATCATCATCTATTCATTTATCCATCAAGCTTATAATTAGGTTGATTGAAATTGGTTTCGAGCACCTTCAAGGTTTGTTCATTCCACGTTTCTTCACTCATGAAGAGGGATCTATCACTAATCTTTAATTGATTTGGGTTTAATACAAAAATCACGATTTGGGTTTTGATGAATGATGATTTTTCATAACGTTGGCGATGATTATGAGCACCCATCATAATCACTATTTGAGGAAGATTCATAGCCATCGGAAAACAAAGGGCTGATGGGGGTGAGCCGATGAGGGTCAATGGTGGGGGTGGATTAGGTGGAACAGGTTAATGAAGAAAACAAAAGGACAAAAAGAGTAAAATGTAACACCTCAATCTAGATTTGCATAAAATCCACATATTCCATATAACATAAAATACAAATATTGTATATTGGTCCCAATTGTACACATATTGGTACATATAAAGTAGCTACAAACTTTTTGATCATATAATTACATGACTTGAATAACATAAACTCACAAATCATGTACATATTCATCTTCCCAAAAATCCACAGATGTAAAGTTATAATAAATCCTTTTACATCCTCCCTTCCCTTTACTTCCTTCTAGTGCCCGACCTGTAATGCACATTTTTTAAAACAAAACGAGGGTTAGACCATATGGTCCAGTGAATAATTCCCTTGATTGCTATTACAAGATGAAAATCAGCAAAACATTTTTTAGAAAACTCAATCTCTGAAACAACAATATACAAGTATCATTTATTGAAATCAAATCTCTTTCGATCGCATCATATAGATGAGACAATCCCTTTTTGTCGCATTTAAACAATATAATAACCAATTTGTCGCATCAAATTGTTAATATACCAACTCATCGCATTCCATTGATGCGATAACCCATTTCCTTGCGTCATTCAGATGCGAGTACCTCTTTTTGTCGCATCACATTGATGCGATAACCCTAATTTTTTGCATCATGATGATGCGATAACACACATTCCTCGCATCATAAGGATGCGATGAAGACTTTCTTCGCATTAAAGATGCTATAATTTCATATCCTCGCATCACACAGATGCGATAACTTACCTTTATCGCATCACACATATACGATGAAACCTAATCTTTATCGCATCATACATATGCGATAACAGTTCTCATATGATCAAAATCTCATTTAACAAACATTTGATTATGATAACCTTATCCCAGTATACACCTCTTCTGATTATGTCACCCTTATTTCAAATATATACACCTCTCCTAATTATGCCAACATATCACAAGATACATATCTCCTGATTATGTCACCCTTATTCCAATTAGTTGATAATAATGTATCAAAATCCAAATTTATGCTAACACATAACAAATAACCATATCAGAAGACACCCCATCTAAAACCATAAAGTTTCATAATAAAGCATATCAAATAATGCTTGTAAAGTAAAAATTCACTTTGTTAACACAAGTAGATGATAACTTTAACAACCACAAATATTCAGACAAAATTCACGTAAACAGTTTCTTCTTCTGTTATTCGGATCTGGAACCACGTATAGGCTCACCAACTTTCTTTCTTTCAATTCTTATCCCAAGTAAAATAATGAACGAGAAAAAAGAAATAATTCATATATATATATATATATATATATATATATATATATTAGGATAAGAGGTAGTGGAAAATTTTGAGATATTTTAAACATATTTTCAATACACACCCCTTAACTCTGAAACAAATTTAACAACCCCTCTAACGTTTTATCAAATAAACCGATTGGGTACGTTTGGTATGCAGACTACATGGGATAGGACAAGACAAAAAAAAATAATCTCATGTTTGACATGCCATGGACAAAAAAAAAATGGGACAATGTAAGACTATTTTTAATTTTAGTGGGACAAATCTTGATATTTCTTGTTCAACCAAAAAAGGTGGAACAACATGAGACTAAAGTTAAAATAACAATATTTTGATTGATTTGTTGTCATTTTACAATTATTATATGATATAAAATAACATTGAACAACATTTAGGGGTAATATGATCATTTTAATAGTTTTGTCATGTTCTGTCATAGTCGTACCAAACATAGGACAGACAATTAGTCATGTCCCGTCCCGTCATGTCCTGTCCCGTCCTGTCTCATCGAGTATACGTACCAAATACTACCAAAAAGACCAAAATACCCATTATGTTAACAAGAGAGGGAAAGACACAGAAAGTACAAAAACGTAAACCACGAGTCCTATTTTTGAACTTATTTTAATTTTGGGATTAATGTAGATAAAAGTGTGGACCATAAGGACCAAATTTGTAATTTACTCTTTAAAAATACATGGATATTATAGACAACAAAACCATATCATTAATGGTGATGTTACTTCCATTTATGATAGTTTGTACGGACACTGGTCTCAAAATACTATTATCATTTATTTTTGAAACCGAATAATCTCCCATTTTATATCACATCAAATATTTGTTCCCCTTGACAAGTCATTTTTTTCAAAAAAAAAAATTAAAATTAAAATTCATTTTACTTATAATTACGATAAAAAAAACTTGTTCATATACGTATAAAACGTATTTCTTTCCGTTCGATCGGATTCCAAAGTTGAGGAGGTGGAGATTAATAGTGGTCAGGTTTTGAAAGACGTTTCACGAAAGTTTATTACGTATATTTTGAACAGTATTTCAAATAGTTTATATATGGTATTATTAAAGTTCATTTAACGAGAAATATGTAGCAATATTTATTTTTCTTTAACGTTTTAACGTTCCTAAATAAAGATTTAATAATAGAATCGGTACCTGCATTTTCATTTTCTTTGACAAACCCATTAATCGGAACCTTAAATTTGTCAAATCAGACAAAATATTTAATACTTGTCTAACCGTTGAACTACATTATTAAACAATCAACCCGGTATTTTTATGTTATAAATATAACTGAATGAAACGAAACAGTTTCTCAGAGATAGTAAATGGATGGGTCAGCGAATTGGGTTGAAGTGTTGAACTGACCTACCAACACTTTTTTTTTATCAACCTGGATATCCAACACGCTATGTGAGCCGACTAATCCCAGGGCGACCACCTGCTTTGCAGATAGCCCAAAGTTGTCGCATTTGAACTTTTGTGGCCATAAGAAGATTTTGTTCCTCCTTGGATTTGAACCTGATACCTCCTGTTACTTTTGATCTTTGGAGCCAAGCTCAAACCAATCAGACACCACCCTTGTGGTTAAACCAACACTTTTTTTGTCTACCCGCCGAACGGAACGCATTTGATTTCAGGGTGATGTATTGTACAACGAGACCACGGGTTCGAGATTGATAATTGTTGTGTGTGGGTTACAATCGTTGGGGATTAAGCTCATTGTGAACACTGAATTCTTAAGACAACCACCTATCATAAGTTGCATATCTGATTTTTTTTTTTATAATACGACTGGAATAATCCTGTGTGGATCGATTTAGGGGTTGTTGGTTACAATTACTTTTAAACAAACACCTCTTTGTCTTTTTTTAAGTTTTAAAAAATTATCAATTTATTATAGAAGCAAAAACCATATGAATAAAACAAAAATTCTTTTCCAAATCAAGTATTTAAAATTATAAATATTTTAACACAAAATCAACTTGTTCAATGGGTATCGTTTTAATTTACTTATTTTATGTTTTAACTTTTAAATTTAAAATATAATTCAAATCAATTTATTTTAAGAGAAGTCACAAAAAAAATTCATTTTAATTTATTAAATTGCTAAAAAAAATCTTAATAAATAAACCATTAAGTATTTAAATATTTTTTTTAAATAAACGAACCATCAAACTTTTAAATATTTATTACTTAAACCATTTTAACTCAAAAAAGATACATATAATCAATTAGAAAGATCTGAAAGTGAAAAAAAAAAAACAAAGATCAATTTTATCGTTCCTAAAACTGACGTCATTCAAATCCCTTGTCACTTATCAAGGGGTTTGAATAACGTAAGACTTAGGAGCCGTTTACCAAGTGCTTATTTGAGTAAGTAACATCAAGTCACATTACTTTATCAGATGAATATGGTAAAAACCAAGTAACTTACCCAGTAAGAACGAGACAAAGACCAAGAGTCTTACCCGGTAAGTGAAGGCGACGATTCTTACCACAGATAAATTATTACATACAATACCATTTTGGTGGACTAACATCTTACCCAGTAAGTAAACGACAGTGTTAAATTTTACCAGTAAACACTTGCCAGATAAGCTTTTGATAAACGGTCCATTAGAAACGAAAAAATTAAATTTCTAAAAATTTAGTTGTATATTTATTTGAAATATAATAATTCGAAAACTTAATCATTTAAAATAAAAAAGATAGAATGATTTATTTATTTAAAAAAAATTATTATTTTTTCTATTATTTTAAATAAAAAAAGTATTGAAATGGGGACAGACGACTGAATGATTTTGGGAATGATATGCCATCCCAATCTCACCCAACATTCAAATAGATACCATCACCTGGTCCACACTTATAAAACAAGTCCCCTTTTTCCATTTGAAGCACATAAACAGCTTCTATTACTATTACCATCTCATCTCCCATCGCCATGGATGCCCAGCCTCAAAGAAACCAAGAACCAGATTTCAAAGAATTCGGTGTCAAAGCCAGAATCGTCAGTCGCGATAACACCATCTCCAGACGCTTCTCGTCTTCCCGCGTTACCAGCTTCCGAGAAGACGCCTGCAAGATGTTCCCGCCCACCGCCACCGTTTCCAGCACCGCCTCCTCCCCTGGCTACTCCATCAAAGGTATAAACCATACCTGTTTCTTTACAGCCAGCGGTTGTAATATACAACCGCTGGCCGGTTTCGTAGCTGGTGAGATGTTAACAAGTGGGGTTTTTTTTTTTGTGTTGTAGAGGAAATCGACCCGTCTACGTACTCGTTCACTAACGCGCTCAAAGGTGAATTTTTTTTAAGGTTTTTTTGTTTTCGCGAAGTCGGTTTGCGACGATGGGATTGGACTTATAAACACTCAGTTTTCGAAAACTTTTGCAGCGTTGCAATTGAGGTCGATAAACACATGGGAGTATTTATCGCCGGAAGGGTTCGCTCTGAACTCCAAATGGAATGAAGCCGAGAGATACATATGCAATCCGTTATCGGGCGAAGTCCCGATGGAGTGTTTATCGTCGAAAACGCTCATGAATGGTCGATCGTTCAGAAACATAACGAACCGAATCACCATGTCGGCACCTTTGATCCATCATTCTTCAAGAATCCAACCTCATAAACTTGCCAATATTCACCCAATTCAAGGTTCCACACAAACACCTTAGTTTTGTTTCTGTTACTGATACTGTTTTCATTACTCGATAACGATTTTGATGATCGTGTAGATGAAAACGAGGCGAAGGATAATAAGACCGATGGGAGGTCGATCATGGTGATGATGATGAAACGAGACGTGGGAATTCAAAGTTCGTTAAGCGAAGAAAGCAGTACCCTGAGCCCGACTTCTACTCCTTCGATCCAAGAAAGATCGATCAAGTTCGGTTCAAACTTAGATTCCTCGAATTCGAGCTCGAAATCGGAATCAAATTTGAAACTGGAATTCAAGGTACACTTACCATATACTCATATATACGCCAATTTGCAATACATATGTTGTGGTTTAAATTTCAAAATTATGTGCCATTTTTCAACTTATATGGGTTAGATAGCAACGCCTTGAGTTTCAAATTTTGGATATATATATATATATATATATATATATATATATATATTTAAAATGTAACCATATTTATTTGTACAACTAATTATTATTATGCATTGGAGTGTAAAATATTTGAAAATGGGTTAGGAGTATATAACTGAATGAGTCCTTTAACATCAGTGATCATATCTTTTGTCGCTTTCTAAGACTAATATGGAGTTTTGGATTTGTGTTTTTTAAATTATAATTCTGACACTGAATTTCGTGATCTAATAATTAGTTATATATTTTTTTAAAATTTAAAACGTTTATTGTTAATGATTATTATAATTTTAAATCAAAAATATTTTTTTTTATCAAAACGTTTTTATAATTAAAATTAAATAATAGAATATATATGGAAGAAAACAAAATAAAAAATTTGTAATGCATGGTGGGGTTCTTAGTTCTTACCCAACATGTAATAAATCATAGAAATTTTTGACCTAAAATGTTAGGTATATTTAAAAATATATTTAATCCGTTTTTCTTTATAAATAAAACATAATATATATATATATATATATGAAAATCAGATTAAATAAAATCAGATATTATGTTTTTTATTTGTATCTTTATCATTTTTAATGGTTTTATTAAGGGGAGATTTAACCCTAGTCAGTAATCTTCTTCAGGTTCAAATCTTGTCAAAACTTTTTTAGCAATGGAGATTCATCTGCGATAATTCTGGGTCATTCATGAAATGATTAAATGATGGTCTGAAAATCTACAATTACCCAAAAACAAAATATTAAGACCTTAAATTCGTATATTTTTAAGAATAGTTAAAAAAAAAACGCTACAAACTTTTGCATTGTGAATGGTTTAGTCGCTAAACTAATTTTTAAATGAAAAACCATTAATTTTTTCATTTTGAATGATGAAGTCAATGAACTATTTTTTTTAAATAAAAAAAAACCATTAAACTTTCTCTTTATTAAAAAGACCATTAAATTTTCTCTTTTTGATTGATTAAGTCCCTAAACATATTTTTAAAAAATAAACCATCGCACTTTTAATTTTAAAAATCGGTTTTCTACATCTTTTTAACCTAAAAAAAAAGTTATTTTAACGGACAAGTAAAAGTTCAATGATTTGTTTATTTTTTTAAATATTCAGTGTCTTAATCATTCAAAATATGAAAGTTTAATAAATAAAAAAAATTAAATTTAAAAAATAATTTAGAGAATAAAGCATGAGAACTTTTCCCAAATTTCAATGTTAAAAATTAATAAAAATAGTAGCTTAAAAGCATTGCTTTATAAGAAGTGAAAGCAGCTTTTCCAAAAAGACACCTAGAAATGACGTATTTTGGGGAAGAAGAACAACACATGAAACAAAAAGGTTCAATCAATCCTCAGAAGATGCTTCAAAATTATGGCATCTTCCTTTTTCTCTCTTTTCACCATCATTCTTTTACCATTTTCCCTCTTTTCTTTTTTAAATTTATCACTTTTTCTATTACAGTTTTGGTCCATCTGGTTTATCATCCGTAGACTTCAAAAACTACAGTTATCCATAGACATCTGTATTCTATAAACTCAACACCGTTAACCAAAAACCATGTCTTAAACCGTGGTTTTCTTTTTTGTTATTCTTTTCTTTATATATATATAATTACAAGAGCACCCCGACCCTAATCGGTGTGCTCATGTAATTGTATATACAAAAAAGAGAAAAACAAAAAGAAACCGTCGTTTTGGTCCTATGGTCCTTGGTTAAGTAAAGACATAACAGAAGAACTGACGGAACTGAGATATTTAACGATGTTAAGTTCAAGTGACAATTTCCAAAGTAAAATGTAAACCACAGAGGGTATACCTTATACATATTGAAAGTATAGGGAAGGTTTTTGTAATTGGGTGTAAACCATAAGGACCAAGATTGTAATTTTACTCTTTTGTATTTCTCTCAATCATTGTTTCATTGAGTTACATGTCTTTTACCCTTTTCATTTTTAACTTGTCATGTGAAATATGTGTTCTTCTTAATGGGCCCTTTTTGTAGTTGTTTTTTATACAAAAACGGTATAAGCGATATCGTTCGGTCTGCGTTTTTATCTGTTGGGCGAAAAACTCTGTTCAAGAAAATATAAAGTTACGTTTCTTTACGAAACTATATGATTAATTTAAGAATGATGTAAACAAGGTTATACATAGTATATGTACATGTTTGTTGTGTACGCAGACACCACCCTTGTCAAAGAAAACTTCTATCTTTAACCAAAAAAAAAAAGTCATATTAATAACCCTTTATGTAAAACCTGCATTTTCTTGTTTTTTTCACTGTTTAGATAAAATAGATTACCAGATATTTTCCCGACAGAAATACCATTAAGTGTGACTGCGACTTTATGTTATATATATGTATGTATGTATGTATGTATGTATGTATGTATGTATGTATGTATGTATGTATGTATGTATGTATGTATGTATGTATATGTATGTATATGAAATTTGAATTATGGTGAAGTGAAAAGCATGTGAATGTAATGTGAGTTGTACCTTTCATGTACAGGATGAGATTGAGGGGGGAAAAGAAGAAACAAAAGAAGATGATGAGGATAAAAGAAAGAGATATGGTTGCATGTGCTACAAAAGGAGTGGGTGTCTCTCCTTCAAGAATTTGTGGTCAACAAAATCTAATAATTAATTTAATCTATATTCAATTAAATTAAATTAGTGTTTATTATTAATAATTATTATTATTAATGTATGGAAAAAAAATATATTATGGTATTGTGTTATTAGATTTTGTTAGGACTTTTTTTTCTAATATTTTAATGGATTGTATGGTATTATTACCTGCAATACGGTTTATTGCGTTACATTCCTTTTGTAATGTTTATTTTGTTTTGTGAAAATTAATTTTTTTTTTGTTATTGTTTTCAAAATGTTGTGTCATAAAAGATGACAAAATTGAAATCCAATTTTTGCTTCTCGTGTCAGAGCATTCACAATGAAGTATTACATACAGAGCTTTTATGATTATATAACAAAACCCCGACAAAAAAAATAAAATAAATTTAAAGTAATGGAAGCGTTTGGCTTCAAATCAGATATAAATTACTTCATTATTGAACCTGAATTACATTATAATAAAAATTTGAATTAAAAAATTACATAAAAATAGGAATTTTAAATAGTTAATAAGATACTAATATCGATATATTTATGTCAAAATTTTATGATATTTTCAAATTTATATCTTATTCAGAAATAAAAATATCATTGTTTTTTTAAAATTATATAAAACCATACTATAACATTGATTGAGATAAAGAATAAAATGAAATATTAAAATAAAAATGTATATCACTGCATTGTGTGAGTACCCTTTTAGTATTTTTAAATTTATGAATACTTATTATGAAAGGAGTATTTGATTTTTTTACTGGTTAAATCTTAAGGGATTGCGTGAAAAATCTCACCTGTCTTAAATTTGAATCCAGATATTATCAAAGCCTGTGAGCCAAAAGATTAATTCGTACAGGTAAACTGGTCCAAAAACCAACGATTATACAAACAAATGTTTGTGATTTATTTATAGAAAGAAAATAGGTTGGCACGTGCCTTCCCCTAACTTTTGCATTATTTGACGTAAAAATGCCTCATCACCTTTCCCTCTCAGACTTCCCAAATTGCGTTTTGACAACGACCAACTAGATTTGAGAACATGTGACATGGCCCATTGTCACTAACATGGTGGTGTCCACGTGGAACCGACAGTAGGTCCCACGTGGATGCAGTTGGAATATGTTGATGGATCATGAGGATTGGTTTCAATTGGATGAAAAAACATATGGATTGTATCAGCATCCTATCTATACATGATGGGATCATCCTCCTCTTTTTTTTATTAAGTATTATTTTAATTATTTATACTATATTATAAATAAATTAAATATTTACAAATTTAATAAAAGCCTTTTTATTTTAAATAATTAACATGAAGTGACATTGAAAACCAACATATTTATATTGATTTACATAGTGTTATTCGAAAATAAAAAGAATTAACATTGTGACCCAAAATGATGTCATTCCATGTACCAAAAATATCATATGATATTTTTGATGAAAGAACAAATTGATGATGTTACATAAAAATGTTGTAGTAGATAATATTAATTTAAAAATGATTATTGATTGATTTTGCGTATAAGAATACTCAAAAAACGGCTTTATATGAATTCAATGTTATTTCTAATGATAAAAAACAATATATTGAAAAAGTATCATACTTATCGAGGGCCCTTTTTCACATCTCACCCAGGGCCTAAAAAATTGTCAGGAACAGGCCTGCCGAACGTCGTCCATTTTCCATATCGCTCAAGGTCGACTTTTACATGTAATTCATTATGAAAAAACAATAATGCATCACAACTTTTACATGTAATTAATTATCAACAAGTGTTGTCCCATTTGCATAAATTGTAAATGGTTAGAATTTGTTAACATACCCAAGAAAGAGACGGGTTTAGGCACGGTTGTTAAATCAAATGGCCTCTATATACATAGCAAAATGACCAAAATGCACTCTCGACTTAACAAATGAACTTACAGTATAAACAAATCGAAACAATGGTGTAATTTTAGAACTAGCGTGGCAATTACTTAAGTTTGAGCAAACGATTACTCAAAAATTCAAAGAAACAAGAGAGTAAGGGGCCGTTTACCAGACACTTACCCGGTAAGCAATTACCGATAAAATTCAATACTATTATTTACTTACCAAGTAAGATTTTAGTTAACAAAAACGACTTTCTATGCAACAATTTACCCGGTAAGAGCTAACCGTGGTAAGAGTCATTGTCCTCACTTACCGGGTAAGATTTTTGGTCCTTACCATATTCATCCGGTAAGGTAATATAACTTGGTAAGCGATTAACCCAACCAAGTAAGCATTTGGTAAACGGCCCCTAAGTAGCGGTAATAGTGAAGTAATGAGGGAGGAAAACAGGTGAAGACAAATATGGAGAAATAGATAAAGTAGTAAAGACATATACAAAAATATGTACCATGTCTTGGGAGCATCATGCTACAAGTCTAAATCTTCCTTCTCTGCAATAAACAGCAAGAGGAACTCAAAACTTAAGTTACATAATTAATAATTTAATGGGTACATTAATATTAAATCATTGGGTTCACACTACTAATGTCTAACCGACTCTTTTACCTTTTATTCCATTAAACCGTGAGTTAAGTTGTCTCTTTAGATAAATTTGTTTAACGATTAAGCCGTAAAGAAATACGTCTATATGTCTAAACGAATAAGCCGCCAAACCCATTAAGCTCATTAATTTGTAAATAAAGGGCCCTTGAATCTTTGAAGTCATTTTCTCAATGTTTAAACATGGATTATCATGCAATATTTTTTGTGAAGTATGTTTATTAGATGTTCAAACTCAAAATCATTTAGTTGCAAATGAATGTGATCCAACATCACATCACTAGTCTCAAAGGTGAAAAAAGAGTACTACCATGTTTTAGTGGACTCACGAAACTGCTATATGCATTCCAATAAAATGGACCAAAACACACGTCCAATAGTAACTTTGTTGTGAGTTTGGTACGAAGACTGGACATGGGACAGGAGTAGACGAACGAGAGTCAAAGGGCTTTATTTTCACATGGTTAGTACTTAGTACTAATTTATCAATCTTGTCTAATCTCCTAGATTTTTATTCGGTCTATTTTGGTATTGACAGATAATTGATTTTTATCCGGCTCAGGTTCTGTCATGTCCCAATCTATCTAATTTCATGCCAAAAGTGAACACCACGTTTTGTCCTGTCCAATTCTGTTTGGCATACCAAACGCACCCTCAAATTGAATCAGAACTTGGTGACTGTTGATTCATGAAGGATTGGAACAAAAGTCTGGTCGTGCTAATTCATAAATAGTAAATTACCTCAAACCATTGATGTGGTTGTTGATCAAAATTGTCTGTTCTGCATCAAATTGGAACCAACTTTCACCTGATTCAAATGTGACATCCCCCGTCCCTATATCTGCATGTTGAGAAGGATGAAGTGTTATATGGGAAACCAAATAAAAGCAAACCAAAAGAACCCAATATATCCCACTCAAAGGTAGGTCCGGGAAACCTGACCCCAACAGAGAGTAGAACAGTTGTTTTCGTGAAGACCCCAACTTACAAAAAGTGTGTTCAAAAGAAAAGACCGCCAGAAAAGGCTGAGACAGATAGAAAGAAAAGGAGTAGATTTGTATAAGGTGGGGATCACAAGTAGAATCCTTTACAAAGTGTGGTAAGAGTTCATCTTGAAGAAGAATATCAGATTTGTCAGAAAAACCTTTTAATCTCCAGTAGACATTCCCTCTGTTGTCTCTGAAAATTGGCTCTGTTCTGACAGCATCAGGCCTATAAAAAGCAAGAAAGAAACTCAGTGATGTCAGGCTATAGGGGTGTCTTGTGAGGAGTTACGATATGTGAAATCCCCGTATTAATCTTCAAATGAGCCATTGAGGAAAGAAAGGAGGTTACAGTATATACTCGGGGGAAATTGTCCAAATCTAGCTGATAATTGTCCTAGAGTGTCGAGAGGGGCCTAGAAAAATTAGGGGGCCATCTGATACCATGTGAGAATATATGAATCTCATTAAATTACTCTCTGAAAGAGACAGGAGGAAAAAAGGGTGGTTCCAACATATATTGAGGTAAGGGATGCAAAAATTAGGTTAGGCATTAGATGCGGTTGGTATGCGGATGGGACCAGACAGAAATGGAAAGGCGAGAGTGAGGTAGGGCTTGAAAAAATGGTAGAAGGTTTTATGGTTTTAATTTGAGATGGTAATCTAGTAATTTACCAATCTAATTTCATATAATTGATTTTTGTTCCACCTATTTAGGCGAGATAGAAAAAACGGAATTCTGTGACACACAGATGCTGCCATGTCCCAGTCTAATGTCGTACCAGATGAGAGACAACAACTTCTTCTACAGTCTTATCCCGTCCTATATCTCACATACCAAACGCACCCTAAACAAGTAATCAAGAAAGAAAGATTACCCATTTTTTAAAAATTCAAAAGTAGTAAATTTGTGTTGATTGCAGATCTCAGAAATGATTAATAGATCATATTCAAAAATCAAAGTTGGCTCCTTTTGGGGAAGGAGGGAGTATTAAATTAAAGCTTAAAAGTGTGGAAAGGAACTTGAGACCATACCAATGGGAACCATTCTTTTGAATTCAAGCATCTCAGCATGAGCTTGAGCTACTTTTTTCTTGATTTCAAAAGCAACTTCATGTTCTGAGATAGCAAGAAGAACACCATTTCATGCAATAACTGCTTCAGCAATAGCATCTACCTTCTTCTGCTTCAAGCATTTCTCCTACAGAAATTTAAAAAAACTGCACATTAACAGACTGACATAAGATTTTCTGCAGGTAGCCGTTATTGCTGCAAGATACCTTATCTTTTGCAGCAACAAGTCTTTCCTTTGCTTCCTTTATCTGTTCTGCAAACTTGCTATTTTGATCACCAATCCAATTTCTTATTTTCCTATACAATATTTTCAAGCATTAGAAAACCACATTCAATTGAACGTGATATATTGAAGAGAAAATGTCCAAGTGTAGCCGAAAAAGCCCCCTCCAAAGGAGGCTAGATGAGCATAGATGTCTATTTGCTCTGATACTATGCGAG